GGAGCAGACAGGGGTAGAGGACCTTGCCTCCTCCAGGCTGCTGTGCAGGGGCAAGGGGAGGAGTCCATTGTAGGGCCCCCAAGGTCCTTGGGGTCTGGAGGTGGGGTTTTCAGTGTGAGGATGGGGAGATTCCCCTGGGGGATTGCTGTACTGGGGTTCTTGACCTGCAGAAATCCAGTCTGGGGTCTTTGAAATCTTCTAAGGTTAATGCTCGCACAGCCAAGTTTCATAGTAGAGTTTGCAGATTCTCTCCACTTTCAAATCCATGCAGGTCATGTTAGGTATGCACTTAGAAAGCAAGGCCAGCATGATGCACAGGCAGCCAAAGAGCAGTAGGAGCTTGCCAAACAGCCACAAAGAGTCCCTGCAACAAGAGAGACAGACAAATGCACAGGGAAAGTTACAGACACTGTAAACCAGCTCTGCATTCCTTTTGGAAAATTATCTCCATGGGACAGTGCCTGGTGTTAGCAGGAACAGCTTCCTGACATTACCATGCCCTCAGGGAATCCCCAGGGATGCTTGGAAAGAGCTATGCCCCTCTCAGGCAGGCTCAGCCAGCCATTTGCTTCAGCAGCCAGGGCGGCAGCATGGTTGGAAGACAAGGCCGTCCCATCGCCTTCTCCTGCACACCCTCCTCGCTTTTCCCGCCTTCAACGGCGCTACAGACACCTCGGGACCTGTGAAAAGGACCCTTTGCCACCACCGTAACCCCTCAGGCCGCCCCTGTGCGCCCACCCCCAGCAACCCCGCCTCCCATTGGCTCACTCACAGCCCTCATCCCACCCATCGCCCCCTCTTCGCGCCACCATTGTGTTTGCTTGTGCAACAGTGAAAACGTTTTTCTACCCTCAGGAGGGGAAACAACAATTGATCCCTTTTCTGCATGACTGGCTGCAAGATCCTTCCCAAAGCTTCCTGGCATACAGAAGCAAATTGAAGGTTGTTTTCCTTTTATGAAGGCCCTACAAGACTATCACAGAAAGGGAAATGTATCTTGGGAGATACTCCTGCTGGTGCTGGAGCAGTGGCAGCAAACGAAGCAAATGGGCAATGGTTGGTGGCTTCAGCCTTTGTGAAGCAGTCTACAGATAGCTTCATCAGCTTTGTACCCTGACCCCAGAGTGACTATACTGAAGAATTCATCCATAAATTTCTCCTTTTCTTCAAACTGTCTTCAGTCATGACTAAGAAAACTGAGAAAAGGCATCACTTGCCCTGGCACTCAGTGAGTCCGTGCTCCTTTGGTCCAGGCAGGTGGAAGCCCACCAGCAACCCCTCGGTATCCATTTAAACAGGGGACTATGGCAGAGGAGCTGTTTAATGGAGGCTGGTAACGCTCACCCAGGTGGACAGAACCTGGGTTCTGGTGTGCTCAGACCTTATGACTTCCTCCCTTTCCCAACGAGGAGGGAAGGAGGAGACATTTGCCAGCGTGCACGTAAATGCTGCATTTTCAGAGATGGCAGGTGAGCAGATTCGTAAGGGAATGTACGCAAGGGACAGAACAGGGTTTGCTCCCCGGTTACTTCACTCTGCTGCTCCACTAGGTTTGCACACACACAGGTCTGCACTTGTGGCACCTTCCTCTTCCCTGCTCACGCTGTTTCTCCCATGGCGTTCCACCATGAGTCAGCATAATCGTGGCTCCATGGTGCTCCAGGTGTAACTAGCCAAGCGTACACGCCATGAGAACATTCTACCTACCCAAGATCCAAACAGAATTTTTTTAGGGAGCTGTACTGGGGTTCTTGTCTCAGCTACCAGCGGGTGGGTGAAGATGAAGCCCCACCGTTGCACAAAGTACTGTTGCAGATTGGTTGTGACGGTCTGTGTCTGAAGAAATGAGGAGACTTCAGGCACAGAGCTCATTTCCTGATGAGTAGTGCTATTTTAAGACTTGGGTCCTCAGGTGCTGTTGGAGTGGGACTTGTCAGATGATGCCCAGGAGGTCTGAAGTGGCTGCATTAGACTAGCTGGCATGTGCCCTAGTAGTTCTGCATGCGACCTCTAGGTTTGCTCTGCCTGTTCCTGAACGCTTGTGGCAGATTTTATTCTGCCATTTGTACTGTGTTCTTTTGCGAAAGGGCAGAGCATGGTTGCGGAGTTGCAGTCCAGATGTAGATGTGTAGTGTGGAAATCCCATTTCCTGTTTTTCCCCATTGCAGTTGCTAATTGTTGCTGCTTGAAAGCTGGAACCATGTTCTTCATCATCTATAAAGCATTCCTTCTTCACAAGTCACACCTGGAAACAGAAACATCACAGATTTCTCACCACCAGTGCTGTCTGTTCCTGTCCTGGACCAATTGTGTAGGAATGAGGAAATAGTTGAATTTCTGTGTCTGCTCATTTCTTGATCTCTTCACCCTCCCCCTTCTCTCTTTCTCTCTCTCTCTCAAAAAAAGCAAGAGCTACCTTGATTATGTTCTGTGGCATTGTGCAAAATATCTGGCCAATATTTTCAGTATAAGGAGGTTTTTTAATAATGAGACTTGCTTCATTCTTCTCTGGTTATGCAGAGGTGCCAGAAAATGCAGGAGGAGAGTTGGACAGATCACTGATGCATTTGATGTTAACAATCTTTCTTGTGTGCTGCCAGTGGAAAAAATGATTGATTGACTCAGAGGAAAATTATTTAAAAGTATTGAGACTCTGACACTGACTCATTGGGAAATCTAAACCAAAAGTGACTTAATCATTGAAAGACAGGGTTTTGACTAGGCAATTAGGGAAAAAAAAAACAACCCAGTTATGGCTTTCTCAAAGTTTTCTTGATAAGAAAATAACAAGATGTACATCTTGTGAAGTTGTGTTCCCTGTTCACCTTATGAGTCAGTGATAGATTTTTAGTTACTGGAAATTAGTGATGTTCTTTCTGCATATGTTATCCAAGTCAATGGAGGTGAAAATACATACGCTGGTGGTATGTGCACACCTGTACATCTATCATCAAGATGAAGAAACTTGGTTTTCTTAATGTTTCCCTCTCTCTGTTCCTTCGTTGCTCTTTACGAAGGGCACGTTTCCCATTGCTTTCCCTTAACCCTTAAGCATTTTTAGCCCTGGAAACCATTTTGCTGAAGTTCAATTTCAATAGATGGCGCCTCAGGAAAAACGCTGGTTGAATATTCATGCCCCTTCCCCTCCTCCTCCCTCTCAAGCTTCCCTTCCCTTCCTTCCCCTCCCCTGTCCCCACTGCTCCCCTCAGGAGCTCAGGGAACACCTTCCTCTGGCTTGACACACAGTGTCACCAGCTGCCACCCGAGGGAGTCCCCTGCTCCTCCCATCAGCTGCTCCTCACTCTGCACCAGGGCCAGGTTCCTTCTCCTGAGTCTCAGCGACAGCAGGGCATGAGAAGCAAACATGCTGCTGCTGGCAGCGCTTGTGTCCACGGCTGCTTGGTCTTGTAAGTGCTTCTGGACTTCCTTACCTTTCCTCACAGGCACCCGTGGCTCTGCTGACAGGCATCTTCCCAGAGCCCTCATCCAGCTCATGACATCATTTCTTCTCTCTTTTTGGCAGGTGGATTTGCACAAGAAATTCCCACGCAGAGGCCTCTCTCTTTCACCAAGTCTAAAGGAAGTGTGAGTCTGGAATGTCACTTCAAAGGCGTCTCAGGAAATTTTGATGGCACCCCCATACACTGGTATCAACAGAAGGCAAATAAAGCTCCAGAGAGGATTCTCTATATAGCAGGGACAAAAGTAGTAGATGAGGGCTTCCAAGCGCACAGGTACAAGGTTGAAAAAGATTCTAGCCAGAAACTGTGTGTTCTTACCATAAATGATGTCCTTCCAGACGACACTGCTACCTACTATTGTGCCTACTGGTATACAGTCACCGTGGTAGGAACTCTGAGATCACCGAGACAAATACTCCCTCAGCATCCCAACCACAAACAACTTGAAAGATCCCAACTCCCACCCCCCCGTGTGGACGAGCTGTCTGGCTTCGGCGCAGGCTCTGGAGAAGCAGGACATGCTTGGTGCTGGCCGGCATCGTGGAAGTATCAGCTGCCAAAAGCTAGAGATTTCGACGGAGCAAATGCACAGTGCAAAGGGAACCGTGAAGGTCCAACCCATCCTCTCCATTCCTTCTGCTCCTTCTTGCTCAAGCGTGTCAGCGATCCGGTTGTAAGGATTTATTCAATGGAAAGGGGTCGCATTTCCATCTTGCTGTTCCTGGAAAAAAATCAGCAATGTGTACTGGAGCTCCTCAAAGACCAAAACAGAGAGCTTTAGCCTCAAGGTTTGTCAAATTTCAGGCAAAGAAAACTAGAGTTATTTTCACTTAAAAGGTAGTAGGAATTGGAGAAGGAATATTTTCTAATTCTTTCTCCTGAGATCTGGAGATGGGCTTTTTTGTTTTGGTTTTCTTTTTTTTTGGAGATGTATTTGTCTCTTTCCCTCTCCTTCTTGCTTGTCGCTGTCTGTGTTTCACTGCTTTTCATCATAGTCGTGGATGAACTAGGGAGAGAATGAAGAACTGCTCCTGTTTTCCAGTCGGGCACTTCAGCACGGAGAGGCTTCTGGCTGGGTTACACCAAGCACTTAGATGCCCAACTCAGCTCACTGCAGGGATAAGCAATCCCCACCGCTGCAAGCCCTAGATTTTGCAGCTGGCCTGAGAGCAGGTAGAGAGGGAGAGGGGCCTGAGGTGAAGCCATTCCTCGGGAGGAGAGAGATGTCTGGAGAACTAACTCTACACAGCGTCTGTAATGGTGAGAGCACTTCTGTTTCCAGAGGAAGCTAAGCCTGCACATTAAAGCACCACCACTGCCTTTGTTGATGGATGTCTCAGATGGGGCCAAAGCTGGACAACCAAGTCAGCAGGTGGTGCCACTGCTTGGCGTGAGATTGCACCCACAGCCATTCCCTTGAACTTCTGCCATTTCTGCACAAAAACTGCCACAGTGACATGTCTGCAGATGAAACATGCCCACAATACCACAAACATTTTGTGTAGAGACATTCCAGTTTATTTGTCTAGACATGGGAGAAGGGCAGGCAAAAAGGCGGGAAGTGCTTGCTAGGGGACTAGGGGCGTCCGAGAGGGAGACATCGAGGAGGGGAGAAGTGCTGTCCTAAATGATTAGGGAACAGGAAGGCATTTGGGATCAGGTTGCTGAGTTTGCGTGCCTAGTGGCTGTTTTCAAGTTTTACCCCAGGATAAGGAACTCTATGGATGCAAAATGCAGAGGGCTGAAGAAGTGGAATGCTTTCCAGATCTCAATGGGGAAGATCCCAGGAAATGCTGGGGAATCTTGATGGGAGAAAAACCACCTCCATCTTAAGTCTTTCTCAAACTGTCTTCAGCTGAAGACCTGGGCAAGAGACTTCCTTCCTCACCACACAGCTGAAAAGCAGTGGGGAGGTGCTGCTAAGCTCTGGTTTATTGATCAGATAAAAGTCAAACACAAACAGGACCTGTTTACAGAAATGTGGTAACTAAATACACAGTCCCACCAGGCGTTATGGAGTTGTATCAAGGGTTTGTAGAAGTGACATTTTAAGACACCTGCCAGATCCCACAGCCCACCGCGTAGAAGTATTTCTTACATTGTTTTAAAGCTAATCTAGTCTGGCAGACCCCAAAATGGAGCTGCCATCATTTCCAAGGGTGTCCTGGTTCCAGCGGGGATAGGGTTCACTCTCCCCAGGCTCCAGCAGGGACACAGGTCTCCCATCCCATGGGAGCCATACTCAGGGGTACCGGAGCGGGAGCTGCCGGGGGAGGGAGGTCGCAGACTGGGAGGTCCCGGGTCTGGTTGGCGGGCAGTGGTATCACAATCGCAGTTATATGTTCCTCCCTCAGTGTTCCTGTTGTTCTTTCCTTGTTCCCTTTGCTGTTCTGGGAAACTGCCTTTGTCTCAACCCACCAGCCCGGCCCGAGAGCGAGAGCACGGCTGGCGGCTGCCCCCTGGTCCTTTGTTGCCGTCCGAGGCCAAACCACAGCAAAGGGAAATGATGAAGTACAGCTTGACTTCCTGCAAGATCAGGACGTTGTCTGGAACGACAGCCTGGATTTGCTGTGCCAGCAAGGGCTCCTAAGGTTGAGGTCACTTGCTCTTCTTGGTCGGAGAAGAAAAGGCTTGCCATATTTCCTGCCACAGCTGAAGAATGCACAGCACTTCGGGAGATTCACCAGAAAGGGGTCCTTGTCTGAAAATATTTTTTAACAAAATTGATTAGACACAGAGAACGCCAGTGCTTCTGATGTATGTCAGGGCTATATAGATTTCGGTTTTCTGAACAAAGCATTCAAGACTTCATTGCATATTAGTTTTATAAAGCAAAGATCTAAGGAAAAACAATCATTATTTGACTCAGAGGGTGGGTGTTTTTCAGACGCTGAATTGCAAAGAACTCCACTCCCTGGTTTACCTGGCATTTGTCTACACCTTCCAGCAAGAGCTGAAGAGTGGACCAGGGTCTACGTTGAAGCTGTCCCTATTTTTTCTTCCAAACCATGTTGCTTCTTGCACCTTCTACGGAGTGCTGGGAAAATTATATCTTCCGTATGCAACTGATTCCTACTTTTTAGAAAAAGAACCCCAGGAGTATCAGGATCAGTAAACTGTCATGGTACGGCGTAATTTTCAGATGGGCTGGGTGAGGAAGCAGTAGAGAAGGGGGATAGCCAGGAGACAGGGTTGTTCATCAGCAGATCAGAGCTCAGTACTGACCTTTTTTTATAAATGTCTTGTTTGATTGAAGCCAGCTGATATAAAAATACTTAGGCCCATGTGCAGCATCTGGCTTGGGAAGTGTAGACCCTTTGGATTAGAAAAGCAGATAGTAAACCCTAGGAGACACAGGGAAAACATGTTCTTACAACAGATCTCTTACAGGGTTAAGAACACAAGAAGAACACAAAATGAGCATATTCCTACTGATGTCCTGCAGATGTCATGTAAGTGCCATTTAAACTCGAGAGCAAAACATAGGTTCTAGCTTGCTTAAAATATGTAAAGTACCGAAACCATGGGTAATGGCCAAGTACAAAGACCACGGCACCTGACAGGCAGAGAGAAATCCCATCTCGGTCATGTGGGAACCAGCCTGTTGGGCCAGGTAGTGGAAGACGTTTGCTGGACAGGCATACCTTTGATGCATAATTGTGGGGTTTTTAATTACTGCAGCAATCAGAAAAGGTTTGAAAACACCGGAGCTTCCGTTGTGTACCAGGTAACTTCACAAACTGACTGTAGGAACAGGGATTTCAGGTAGAAACTATGTCACCTGATTGCATTTGGCATTCAAGGCTCACCAATTGTTAAAAGGAGACCTTTGGAGGTATTGTCACAGGATGAAAAATCATCCTCCATTTGGAACCTCCGATACCTCAGTCAATAAAGAGACTTAAGGAAAGAAGCTGATGGTACTCTGTCCAGTACTGTATCTGGGGAATAAATCTCGGAGAACAGGGCTCTCGCTACTACAATAAAGATGTATGCAGGCAGAAATGAAGCCAGGGGAACGCAGGCTACAAATCAGGCATAAATCTGGAAGAGTGGGGCAATGAACTGCTGAAGCATCTTGCCTATCACTGTGGCACAGTCCCTGTTGCTGGTCACGAGGCCGTTTCCTTAAAGAGAAACTGTTGCTGCTCACACAGGGCTTAATTTCTGGAGTTGCTGTGGATGGTGGTGTCCGTTTGCAAGGTACCATCACTTGTAGGAATTTTCATAAGGGGGCAGAGGAGATCTCTTGTGGCCCCAAAAAGCTGGAGGCATTTAGAGGAGCGGCCACTGGGTGATGGGTACTCGAGTCACTCATTTCTCCTCTTGAGGTGCCTGCTCCCTCCTGCTGGGGACAGACTGCTCCTGGCTGGTTCAAGGAGGCAGGCTCGACATTTGCAGCACACATGGTGCTGCTGCAGGTGCTTCTGGCTGCGTCAGCCCTTTACTGTAGATGTGAGTTGCAGGGGCTTGGGAGAGTCCCAGTCTGTGACCCCCAGGGGGCTGGTCACTGCTGTCACCACAGCGCTGGTTCTCTGCTTTCGTTGTAGAAAGCCATGCACAAAGATTCCACCAGCAGAGCCATGCAAATGACTGCACAGATCAGCTGCCATTTTCCTGGGTCAGACCTTCTGAAAACCTTCTCCCACTGGCACCAACACAAATCCACACAATTCCCAAAGCACGTTCTGTACGTGCAATCAGGGGATCCTTAGTTTTATGAAAAATCTTACAGATAAAGTAATACAAATGCAAAGTAATACAAAGTAATACAAAGTAATACAAATACAAATGAATATAAATTACATTATATTTAAATATAAATACGGATTGCATAAATTACAGATAAAATACCTATTCTTGAGCTTCCTGGGACTGCACTTCCTTAAGAAACCGTTGGGCAGCTGACAGAGAAACCTCCCCTGTGCTCCCATGGGCTGGAAACCTCACCTGGCTCCAGGGTCCTGGTTGCCAGGCTGGGCTCACCTGCAGGAACTCCTCAGGGTGGCAAGTTGTGAAAAAGAGCAGACAAGCGCTGCTTCAGATGACTCACCTGTCAGGAACGGCAGAAGGGACTCGCACCACCAGCGTGAGGTAGAGTCAAAGTTTAACCCTACACCCCTCCTTGCTAGGTGCAGCCCAGGGCTCTGCCTCCAGCAGCAGGCAACAGCAGGTGCCTAGAGGAGACCACACAAACACACAGCAGCCATTTCCCAGAAATGCTCCCAGATCACAGTGGTTTTGCCTGCTGTCAAGGGGCATCTCTTCTCTTCCATCCTCTGATATCAGATGTACCTTAAAAATCCAGATATGAAGAACTGACCTTAAAAGCTAGCACATATAAATCGTATGTTGGGGGGGGGAAAAAAAGGAAGAAGAAAAGTGGCGCTTTGCTCATTATCTAAGCAAACCGCTTGGGGGGGAGATCGG